GGGAAGCATTCCTCCACCTCTTTCAAGATGGGGGAAACTCCTTCTTTCTCACTTCCTGATGCAGCCAGTTCCCCCCTTCTTCCCCGGACACCTCCAGAATGAGCAAAGCTGCTGAGCTCAGTCTCCTTCTGTCGTGTACATAGACCTGGCCTGTGTGGAGTTGGACTTGAGTAACCACCATCCCTCCTGCCTCCACTGGATCTTCCTTGGTCTCCCATGGCTGACAAAACTGCCTCTCAGCCCAATCCTAAGCCCTAGGCATTTGTAACCTCCCAGCTTTCATACAACCTCATCAATCTCAATAACTCTGATGGAATGGAATTATGAAGGCCAGGCTCAGGGATATAAACATTTTCCTAGCTCGCCAGAGGAGCATGGGAAATACAAGAGGATGCGACTGGCACCTCCCTGAGGAATTCACACTATTGTGGCTGGATGGCTTGGGAGGCGGGGATTCAGTCTGGGAAGATTTTTGGTAGTGGTTGTAGCTAATAAACAAAGCTGAACTGAATTTGCATTGTCTCTTGGAGTTCCTTGGGCTAGGCCTGACAGTAACCCAGATGGGCTGTTCTCTGGCCACAAGGCACTCATACCTGCTTGTTCCCCAGTCAGCATACACATTTGTGTGCAAGAACAGACATTCTGAATTTGAGGCTCCAGAATAGAAAGATGCTTTTATAACAAATAGTTCCTCTGCTTTTTCTCCCTCCCAGTGACCAGAACAACATTGATGGTAACTTCTGAAACATCTGTTGTTTGTAGTGGAGGAATAGCAGCACCTGTGCTTCCAATGAAGGTAGGAAGATCTTTCCCTCCTCAAACTGCAAAAGTCATTTGGGGAGATCCAGCGCTGTCCAAAACGGGGGGATCCCTTTTCATGAGCAGCTTCCTGGTACTTTGATAGGAAGTCACCTAGAGCTGCATGTGTGGAGGTCAGTATTTCAAGAGGAACCATGTTATGATACAAAGCCGCCCTCTTCCCCCTGGATGCTGAATGGATGTACTTTATACTGTAATTATGGCCTCAACCATGTAATATCTGAGCATGTAATATTATTGCTTCCACAGTCCCAAAGAACACTGGTTAAAAATTGTCTCAATACATTGCATGCAGGTATGGAAGTTAAAACTAGAAAGAAATTAGGATGACAGGGTGAGTGAGGCTACTGTAGTTTATTATTATTTACTTTACTGTATTAAAATTCTTATTTGGTTTACTGTAGTTTAAGCTGTTCTGCACAAGAGGACGCACAAGCTTCCTCTTAAGCTTATATTTATACTATGTAGTCCACATCTACTCTTTTTCTAGTCATCCTTCAAGTCTATCCTCCCTTGAACTGCTTTGATCTGTAAAAGCATATCAAGATTCAGTTTTATCCTTAAGCAGTCATGCAAAAGTGTATTTAATTTCTTCTTCTCAGCCTCCACTATAACTAGGTAGTTTGATCATATTTCACCTGTGTCCTTGGAGACTGTGGAAGCATGTACAAGTTACATAGCTACACATTACATAGTTTAGAATTAGCCAAACAAACAGAACTTTATCCCAAATGTATTTTCAGTCAGAGGCTTGGAGCAAAGCCCACTTTCCCCAGGGAAGTCACTTCTTTGTTCTAGTTGGAAAGCAGGATTTGTTCTTTAAGAACAAAAAATTGCATATACATTATTCAACTGTTTCTTAATAGGGAGATTTGAAGAATGTGTTGTTTCTGTTTCAGAATTCTGTCTCCTTTGAGGATGTAGCTGTGTTTTTCTCTGTGGAGGAGTGGGCCCTGCTGG